CAAAACGTATCAATGTCTTTGTCTCTGGTGGGCCTGGCTTGGAAACAGACCGTCTCCTGAACCAACCACTGCATCTTTTGCTCATGGTTGCTATAGCAAAGCAGCACAAACTTGTTGTTGTTAGGTGCTGTCATTTGGTTTCAACTCATAGACAGAATGAAACACTGTGTATACTTGCACATCCCGCACCATCATTGTGGTTCGGGGTCATGGTTGCAGCCGCTGTGTCAATTCATCACAGTGAGGGTCTTCCTCAGTTTCACTGACCCTTCTAATTTACCAAGCATGATGTCCTTCTCCAGGGACTGGTATCTCCTGACAACATGTATGAAGCATGTGAGATGACGTCTCGCCATCCTTTCTTTTAAGGAACATTCTAGCTGTACTTCTTCCCGAACAGAGCTGTCTGTTCTGGCAGCCCATAATATATGTCCCATCGTCTTCAACAGCACCAGAATTCAAATGTTTCCAATCTTCTTTGGTCTTCCATTATTCAGCTTTCACATGCATAAGCGGTGACTTAAAAGACCATATCTTGGGTCAAATTTAATAGCTTAAAGCAACACCTATTTATTTTCTTAATAGTTTTTCACAGGTTAGATGTCTAAAATGCTTGATAGGACCCTCTTTCTGGAGGGTTCAGGGGAGAATCCAGTTCCTTGCCTTCCCAGCTTTTAGAGGCTAAATTCCTTGGCTCCTGTCCCCACATCTCTCAGAACTCAACCTCTATTGTTACATCTCCTTCTCTGATTCCGACCCTTCTGCATTTCTCTTATAAGAATCTTTGATATGACATTGGGCCCACCTGGAGAGTTCAACAGCAACTAATCAAAAAGTTGGAAGTTCAAGTCTACCAAGGGGAGCTTTGGAGGAGAGTCCTGGTAAGGTAGCAACTATTTCTGAAATCTCAGCAATCGAAGACGCAGTGGAGCACAGGTCTACACTGACACATATGTGCTCTCCATGAGGCAGGTTCAACTTGGCAGCTACTGGTTTTGGTCATCTGGACAATCTCTCATCTCAACACGCTTAACTTAATCACACCTGCACAATAATTTAGTCAGGTATCTGAGATCACTGATGCTGCTGTACAGAGGCACCACAGTGGGTGACTTTAAGTTCATATTCTCACAGAGCAAGAGGCTAGACATCCAAATTCAATTTGCATACTATAGGGGAAGGCGTTCTCTTTCTGTATCTGCTCTGGGGGAAGGTCCTTGTTTTTTTTTTTTTAGCTTCTCATCCTAGGTTCTTTGTCGATCATGTTGCGTGGTGTAACTCTGTCGATCATGTTGCATGGTATAACTTCCCCTCCATTTATGCTTCCTTACTTAATCTGCTCTTGTATGTCTTAGAAGAGATTAACTTGACGCACACCCTACACTAATACTAAGGAGCTCTGGTAGCGTAGTGGTTACAAGTTGGGCTGTGAACCTGAAGGTCAGCAGTTCGAAACTACCAGTGGTTCCATGGTAGAAAGATGAGGCGTTCTGCTCCCATAAAGATTTACAGCCTCAGAAACCCTGTGCAGGGTCGCTATGAGTCAGAATCAACTCCAGAGCACATAACAACAACAACAACCACACTAACACTGCCTCATTATCATATCAAAGAAAGTCCAGACCCAAATGGGATTATCACCACTGTCATAGAGGTTTAGGATTTACCACACACATTCTGAGGAGGAGATGCATTCAATCCATAACACCATGTACCCTAATATAGTCACAGATTCTGAGATTAAGATATAAACCGTTTTTTGGGGAGGGGGTGGGTCATTATTCTTCTGACTACAAAGACAATGTGAGACTTAAGCCAGACTCTATGGACTGAGACAGGGGATGATGTAACTCATTCCTAGACCTGGAGGAATGGACGTTAATCCAGCAGCAGTAGCAAATTCCAGAACAGAATCCTGAACAGCTCTTGTTAGACTCATTGCCAAATTTCTTTTGGGGATCAGCCCAATTTCTCTTCCTCTTGAGAATGGGTGATGGACTGGGCTGAAGTTAAGAATGAGTTGGCATAATTGTGCTTCACTGGGAACTTTTCAACTGATGTCATTTTTAAAGGGAGGACATTGGAGGCGGGTACTAACTAGGGTGCAGTCTTAGGATGAACCCCATGGTTTGAGGAGATTCACAGATAGTCCTGGGACAACAAGGAGCAAGACTTAATCATGTGATCTCGGAGGCAGTTCAGAGGTGCTGCTGATGGGTGGGATAATAGAAAACTACATCGTGTATTGCGTTACTCTTGCTTAAATCCCTAAATTTAAGGGGAAGCAATCTTCAAAAGGAGCTCTGGTAGCGTAGTGGTTACGAATCGGGCTGCGAACCTTAAGGTCAGCGGTTCGAAACTACCAGCCGCTCCACGGGAGAAAGATGAGGCTTTCTACTCCCGTAAAGATTTATACCCTCGGAAACCCTGTACAGGGTCGCTATGGGTCGGACCCGACTCGATGGCACTTAACAACAACAACAACAACAATCTTCAAAAGAGTCATAAAGCACTTGAAAAGGCAACTGGACAGGATGCTTAACTGAAATGAAATACAACATTCTCCACGGCTGGGTTTTGGATCAAAACGTAAGTCAAGAAGTGGCAGCCACTCATCTGCCAGCTTGGAAAAAGTTGATGAAAAATAAACAGAGGGACCAAGTCTTGGCCTCCGCCAGGGTCCACAAGTCTGCCGATGTGTCACTTCTCTGAGGGGCACGTTTGATGGCAGACAGGAAGACAAAGGAATGTTGGCAGAGTTTAGAGGAGGAGAGGGACATTCACGAGTGCCCTCTTCAGAGGGATCATATAGTCACCATTCCTCCACGCGACCTTTCATCAGAGATGATGGGAAGTAGGAAAGTTGGTAGAGGGAGAAATGAGGTCTCCTAAATGGCCCACAGAAGAAAATGAGGACAATTCTCAACCCAGGAAACAGCCTCTTATCCTCTTTTTATTTTTACCTGATTAGTTTATTTTCTATGACTCCAGTTACCCTTCCCATCCTGCAAGGATATTTTCGTTTGTAGGTGATGGATATTTTCATATCAAGGAAAGCAATTACAATGAAATGATCACGTTCCAGTCCAGTAAGAATGAAAGATATTTCTAGCCTCGGGTTTAAATATTTTTTTGTGTGAACTATAAAGCCCCCAAACTGAAGCCAAAGCCCCTCCCAGGTCATTTGGCTTGCTGGAGACTCGAGGCTTGTCAGCCCCCTCCTTTCTGCTTCTTGACTTGGACTCGAGGACTGGGCAGGAGGAATGGAGATGCATAAGCATTCATATCAATTCTGAGGACTTGAGTGCATTTCCCACTAACTTTAAAGAAACCATTTTTCATGTTCAGTGAGTCTGTTGGTCAGGAATTCAGAAAGGGTGCTGCTCCTCAGTGGGAAGGCTGGATGGCTTGAGTACAAACAGTTAGGTCAGAACCTGTTAAAATCTGGGCTACCAACTCAAAGATTGGTGGTTAGAAGCCACCCAGAGACAGCTCAAAAGAAAGGCCTCGCAACTAGCTTCTAAAACATCAGTCATGAAAACCCTATGGAGCCCAGTTCTGTCCTAACACACGCAGGGTTGCCATGAGTCTGTTCCACAAGTAGGAATCGATCGGGCATCTGTTATTTTGGTTTCTAAAGGTCATGGATTGAATAACGTCCACCCAGATATGTGTCAACTTGAACATGTTTCCCAGGATTGCGTGGCTCTCCTCCCTCCTGTGAGCTAATGTAATTCTCCTCCATTTTCAGATGTGTGTCATAGATCCTAATGAGTCTGGAAGAGGGTGAGTTGTATCTTGAGGTACAGCCTTACAAGAGGGCTCAAGTTCCTCCCTTACTCAGCTCACCCGGAGTATTTGAGTCTCATCTTTTAGAAGAGAGAGAAGTAAGCAGAGAAGAGAGATTGACTACCACCAAGAAAGAGGAGGTGATCTCCCTGCCCTGAGACCCTCCTAGACCCTGGGGAAGATTGATGCCAAGACACGGTGGAGATCTCTGAGGAGCTTTTAAGTTGAAGCTGGAGACACAAGAGAGAGAAAGGCTAATTTCCAGCTGGTGCGCTCCGTTTGAACTTCCAGCCTCCTTAAAGGTGAGGGGATAGACGTTAAAGCCCTGGGCGTGTCGTGTGGTCTTTCTGTCATAGCAGCACTAGATGACTAAACCGGGTGTTGAGACACAGTACTCAGCAGAGAAGGTACAGGAAAGATCAAAGGCATGGAGAGAGCCTCCCACAACTTGACCTGGTACCGCCTCTGAAGGACTTGGAGGAGGCCCATTCCCATTGGGTGTCAAGTTATTCAATGAATAGAATGGGCTTGCCCTTCAGGGAGAGGAACTTGACCCCTACTAAACCCACCCCACCTGACACTGGAGGGTCCCTAAGCCTGGTCCCCTTCTTGGCTTCGCCCCACAGCTCAGTCCTCGTCCCGGGGAGGTGGGAGAGGTGCCCTGAGTCACGAGTGGAAAGTCCGCCCCAAGCTGTGCAGGCGGGCGGGCTCTTGTGCAAGGGGAGGTGTCACTGGGGAACCTGAGAGAAAGCGCCTTCCCGGAGGCCTGAGGTCCAAGAGAGCACCTTGCCTCAGCGGCCTGGTGCCAACTTGCTGCTAGGGGAGTTGGGGGGCCGCTACTCTGAGCTGCAGGTCCGAACGCCAGTGCGCGCGCGTGTGGCCTCCGGCAGCTGTCCGGCCCCCACTGCACACCCCACCCCACCCACCGGCCGCCCCGCCCGGCCGCTGCGCGCTGGCTGGCTGCCCGCGCCTGGGAGGACCCCCGCGCGCCCCGGGTTCAAAGGCCCGCGCGCAGCTCCGGCCCGGGGGCGGGGAGCGGAGGGTGCAGGCCAGAAAGTTGCGCGCACAGCGGCCCGATACAGGGGCCCGGCTCGGGTAGTGGGACCGTCGCCGCCCCGCCACTCCGCCGCGCCCCCCCAGCAGTGCCTTTGCGCAGCCCCCGGCGCTCGGCGCTCGGCCCCCGGCCCGGGGCTGCGGCCTGACCGGGGTTCATGGAGCTGGGGCTGTGGTTCCTCCTCGGACTCACGGTGACCTCCGCTGCAGGTACGTGGGTGCGGGCGGCCCCTCTCCAGGCGCGAGTGCACACAAAAGGCTCCAGGTGGGGGTGCACCGACGCCTGGGGGCGCGGGAGAGCCCCCAGGACATGTGCTGGGGAGCCCCGGGGATGTGTGCGGGGCGGGGAGCCATCACTCGCCAGCGCAGGCAACTTCTGGAGGCGCCCCGGGGGCGGGCTGGGGGCAGAGGCGGAGGGCTCCCGAGGGTGCAACCCGCGCCTTGGTTGCAGACTTGCACCCGGGACGACTTGGGTCGAGTTCTCATGAAGCTGAGAACTTTTTTTTTCAAGTTTGCAAAGTTTTCAGAAAGTTTTCAAAGTGCCTATAGAATTTTCAGAAAGTGTTCAAAATGCTTGCAAAATGGAAACAGCTTGCTCGCTTCTCACCCAGCACACAGCGCTTGCAGACTTTTCGGGAACTTTTCGGGACTTTTCCCCAATGTGCGCCTCCCGCTTAGAGACTTTACAGAGAGTGCAACTGGCCGGCAAACTTCTCAGGAAGTTTGGTGGCCGCCCCTCCCCCCTGGTATTTGGGGATGGTGGTTGTGGAGGGTTCTGTACACTCATCTGCTTTCTGCAGGATTCATACCTCTCCCCCAGCTGAGGGACGCCGGGAGAGAGCCGGGGAGCCTCCCCGCAGCTAGCTTTGAGCCCCACAGTGAGGTCGCTGTAGCTGAGACAACAGCAGTCGGGGGTCCCAGCTCTGGCAGCCCTGGTCAAGAGCCCGAACCAGCCCAGAGCGAGGAACAGGCGACTGATGGGGACCAGGTGCTCCGGCGCGCCCGACGCTGCACGTGCTTCACCTACAAGGACAAGGAATGTGTCTACTACTGTCACCTAGACATCATCTGGATCAACACTCCTGAGTGAGTCCTGAGGGCAGGGGTCAGGACGGGGAGAAGAACTTGGTTCTGGGGCCAGGCTTGTGGCTGTCCTCACACACAGGGAGGCATGCGCTGTACCTGCCAAGCCCAGCCCAGAACCTGCCCTGGCACAGTCTTTGCTTCTTGCTGGTGCACTCTGCCAGCTCAGGCCTTGTCTGCTGTTAGAAGTGTGAGCCTTGTCCCCAGCCAGATCGCTAAGAAACTCAATCTGGGAGTTTCTGATGGAGGTGGGGGGAGGGGAGCCCCCCTGCCTCTCTTCCTGAAATGAGCCAGCCTGTGAGATTAGACACCTGAGAGTCCCTGGGAGACACTTCTATGAGACACAGAAAGCCCAAATGTTCCCTCCTGCCCTAGGAGCTCCCCTGACCTACATCACGATTCAGAGGCGATTAAATTCCTTGAAAGCAGCCTGTCCACCGAGACTAAGGAACCTGCCCCATCCCAGGAAACTCCACAAGAAACAGCTTCTTCCCTCCCCAGACACCAGACCAGGATGCCATGACCACCATGGGCACCTGTTGTCCTCTGTAGCCGGAAGGCACTGGGCATCACCTTCCTAAGCTCTGTGTGCAGACAGCTCTCCTCTGAGGTCATGGAGAACTGGCTTTGTGAGGGCAGGCTTGGAGAGTGTCCCCAGTCCATAACACAAGAGTGCAGTGGAGGATCCATGACCTTGCTTTGGGTTGATGGCCATCAACCCAACGGGCTTTGCCTTCCCCATCTCTAAAATCCCCGAGTCTGACCACTCCCAGAGGCTGGATGCTCTTGGGATTTCTTAGGGCTCCTGCTGGCTCCCTACTCAAGTGATTCCCAGCTGGGAACTTGGAGCTGGCTGGGAACTTAAACCCTGGCCCAGACATGTACTGTGGCCACTCTTTGGGATGCACTCTGGTGCAACTGGGATTGGCTCATTGTCTCATGAGCACCTTGGGAAGGATGCAAAGGAAGGTAAACCTGAGGGATCAAAGGTCTTCAAGCCATGACTCTAGCCACATACTGGGCATGTCTGGAAAACTACTCCATTAGATGGGATTGGTCAGCATGGTCACCCAGGCCCTGAGCTTGGAAGGACCAGTGCTCAGTTTCACACCATTGGCTGTGAAGTCTTCAGTCATTTTTTAACAAGGGGCTCCACATACGTATTCTTCCCTGAGGCCTGTGTGTAATGCCCTTAGACAGAAGGTCTTGTTTCCAGGTAGGCTCCTGTCTGTATGCTTAGCCTGTCTTCTTTCCCTGCATGGTATTGCACTGTGTTGAGGGTGGGGCGTCCTGGACAGGGCTGAATGCCATCTCATCTGACACGGTCATCAGGTCGCCTCAGAGTGCCCATCACCCTGACACTTTCCCCTGCCCTGAGTGTTATCTTCTGGCAACATGATTGTAGCAGATTGGCTTCCCAGACCAAGTTACACTGGGCAGCCCACCACACTCTTGCCTTGGCTATGAACCAACCCAGAAGGAGGAAGAAAGGTGATGGAATTAGGGGCAGTGGGCTTGGGAGAGAGGACTAAAGGGAAGAAGGAGAGGATCTGAAGCCCCTTTTCTCTGTCACTTGTTAAGCCCTTGAGCACTGACTGGGATGTGTCCTTGAAACTAAACATACAGGACAGTCTGCTTGCGGTCCTTCCTCATAACCTCATAGTCTCACCTGGCACAGGAGAGAAGCAGGGCCTTTTGACTATTTCCAGGACAGACAAGTTGATAACTCGCCCCTACCCCCAAAGTTTGATTTACCTCTTCCCCTCCTCTCTGTACCCTGGCTTGTTTTAAACACTAGGAAGGAATGATTAACTGTGGTGTGTGTGAGTCTCATGAGCTACTCAAGGAAACAAAAAATGACAAGAACCAGACTTGAGCATTTGAAAGTAGACGAGAGAAATGGTTTTTGTATGATTTTTCTGGATGGCCTGGTCTTGCCCTCTCTTCCTTCTCTCCCTTTATTCCTCTTTCTCCATTTCCATAGCTACAGAAATATGTGCATTTGCTACCTTAAAGTATCTCAGATAAGCTGGAATTTGAGGCAATGGGCTCAGGGACAGGTGCGTGGTCCATATCAAACAATGGTAGCAAGTGGTCAGTTTTTCCCATGGCTTCCATCTGCACCCTGATCCTGGTGGTGGGGTTTCAGTGAGTCACTCTTAAGAATCTTTCATATAGCATGCCTAAGATGCTCCAGTTCTCCCACACACCGTATCCCCTGGGACCAGCACACAACAGACATCACTAAATGCTGGATGAACATTGGATTACGGTTCTTGAGTTCCCTCCTCTCTCCCTTAGATGCCCAGTTTCTTCATTAGCCGACCTTCCGACTCTGCTTTCAGTATTTCTCCTCCATGATGGACTAGGTCCATATCCCTGTGGCCATCGGCTCTGAGAACCTAAAGGAGTCTAGATCCTTGCGCATAAAACGAGGGTCTTGAACTTCGGGTAAAGACCCCTGGTTTAAGCACTTGCCTGCTAACCAAAATGTTAGTGGTTAGCATTCCATTCAAGGATGAATGGAATTCCATTCAAGGATGAAAGCTAAGGCAGTCTGCTTCCATAGAGATTACAGCCTGGGAAACCCTATAGGACAATTGTACTCTGTTCTCTAGGGTTACTTCATGTCAGAATCAGCCTAACAGCAGTGGATTTGTTGTTGTTTTTATTTTCTTGTTTGTTTGAACTTTGGATGGTTGTTAGTTTTTTGTGTCTGTCATCCCGATGACTAAGATGGAATCAGCAATCCTGTTTTATCTTTGAAGGATAAGACGGGTTGAAGGCATTCTATGAATAAGCAGATGCCCAGTCCTCCCATTCACTTAGTCTTCCTAGACTTGAGCCTAGCTAGCCCTATCTTGACCACTCCGCACTAGCAGACATCTGTAAATGCTGGATGAGTGTTGGCTTAGTCTCCTGTCAGCATGGTTCTGGCTCACAGCCTTTCTCCCATGAATGAGCATTCGTCTTCCAGGTGCTCATCTACCATTCTGAGTGAGTACACATGTATGGAAATGTGCATTTTTCCTGGGATCACCCCCACAATTCCCCCCCATAGTCTTCCCAAGAGTCCACAGTCTTTTGTACTTTGTGTCCTTTGTACTTTGGGTTCAACTAACTGTACATCTCGCCTCTCTAGAGGCAGCTGAGATCACAACCAATGGATGGCATTATGTTAAGACTTTCCTTGGCCATGTTGGGCTTCACCAACTCTCCCTCAGTGTCCCTCACACCCCATCACTGCCAACACAAAAATGCAAATGCGAGAAGACGGCCCTCCTTACCACCATGGGGAATTTGTCACAAAGAAAAGAGCAAGGGTGGAGGTAATGGAACAATTAGAACAAGTGTCTCATTCTTGTGCACTTTGGGGTCACTCTCTATTGTTGTTGATGTTCTGAATAGCTGTAGAAATGGACTCCATGCACAGTGGAACCAACGCTGGCCCGTCCTTCACCATCTCTGTGACCAGACTGGTGGCTTGCTGGCTGATTTTTAAAAGTAGATCAGCAGACAGTCTTTCTGGGCTATTTTAGCTTGGAAGTTGCACTGTAGTTAGTTTAGCACCCTAGCAACATGCAGGCCTCCACTGAGAGATGGGTGATGGCTTTTCATGAGGGGCGTGAGCCACCAATGCCCCCCGTGCTCCATGAACAAGGTCACTGGCGATTTGGGTTCTAACTGTGCCTCACTGTCACCTGTGAAGCTGCCATGCCTGGATAAAGAGTAAAGACACATCCAATGGTTGACTGGGCTCAGGAGTGAGCAGAGAGGACCTGCCCTCTCCAAATTGCCCTGAGGACATGAGGGAGGCATTGTGATGTTGTGAGGGTGGTGATGACTGTGTTTGCCACCCAAATAAAGCCTGGATACATGTGGGCTGATGGGTAGGAAAGGATTTATGAGAGAAATCTCAATGGTGGATCCATAGTCCCCACTGAAAGCCGAGGAGCTCAGCGGTGTGTCCCAGACTTACCTAGCCATGTAACCCTGAGGGGAACTCTGCTCATCCTTTGTGAAATGAAGATGTCAACTGACTAGAATACTGACCTGCCGGATGTCCCCAGAACAGCGGCTGACCATGTCTCCACAAGATGGCCAACCCACTGCCATCTGCTCCAAGGCATGCCATGCTTACTTAATCCTGCATGAATGACATTTGTTTTGCATTGTCTCTCACCCTACTCCCAAGGAAGTAATGAGTAAAAGAAAAAAAGGAATAAGAATAATTAACAAAACCTCTAAACTTGTGTTTTAATGTCTTCTACCACAAAAAAATGCAATATCACAGTGGATTCTGACTTTGCCTTCTGTGTATTTCAAGAAAGGCATTTTTATATGTTCCAAGAAAAAGGACATTCTGAATTTGAAAGCATACCAGTGGAATGGGTTGGTTCCAGAATCAGCCTCCTGTTTAATGGGGTGGTAGAAGTGTACATGGGAGTACAGTGGCTCTGTAGGATAAGCACTGAACTGCTAACCACAAGGTTGGCAGTTTGAGCCCACCAGCTGCTCCACAAAAGAAAGATGAGGTTTTCTGCTCCCACCAAAGATTTACAGTCACAGAAACCCTATGCAGGGTCACTATGAGTTGGAACTGACTCGAAGGCACTTAGCAATTTAAGTGATATACACATTATTGAGAAGGACTAATCTGAAGGGAGCCAACCAGATGGTGGATTGGGTGGAAATGCAGTGAGGAGCTCCATCAACAACTACACAGAATACCGGACCAAACAGGCTCGAGATGGTGCCTGAACTCTGAACCACATACAATGGAATACTTAGAAGGTTGGAAGGCTTACAGCTGGGGAAATGGTAACAGAAGCAAGAAATCCAGTGCTTTCTAGTTCAAGACACTCAGCTGCTCTTGGAGCCACCATCTTGGTTGAGACCAAGCAGGGGAAGGATCAGAGCTACCACAGATGCCTGAGAGAACCGCGGAGATAAAGGTGTGGACACTCTTTTTTTTTTTTT